AAAGTAAATACAAGACCTTTGAACAACATGAGTCTGAACTGCATGAGCGCACTTATACCCAGACTTTTCACTAAGTGCATACTACAATACTACATGGCCTGCAGTTGATTGAATCTGTGGGTGCAGACCAGCACATAAGGAGGGCCGGCTATTCAAGGGTCAACTGTATACATCAATAGCCTATTTGGACACATCTAGGCTAAAATTACAGCAACACTTTGTTCATATAATTGTTTTCTTTAAAAAAATTAAGCTTTAAAATATCCAATGGAAAATTAAGGTATTGAGATAAATTGAACATTGAATTACAATGTTGTACACCTGAAAATAATAGAGTTATAAATCAACTATACTTCAACTAAAAATAGAAAGATTAAAGTGATTAATTACCTCCTTAAATATTGTTTTTCTTAGGAAAAGCTTATATTCATTTTAAGTCTAAGTAAAAGTAATGCTAGATGTGAAATAGGTTGTAGAAATATCAAGGTAAATGGAAGAGTTTCACATTTCCTTTGGGTCTGAAACTAAATAAGCAGTATTGTGACTTCACTATTCAGAGTAGATGAGAATTATCATATATAGTTAAACACATAAAATATTGTAATTTTTAATTAACTATGGGTAGAAATAACATGTTTTCTTTCATCCAAAATTATGATGAGTTTTATTTTTGGCCCACCCTACTTTCATAAGGATTTAATGATGGTAAATAGTGTGACCAACTGATAAGTAAATGTATGGTTTTTATTATCTCAGAATTTGAATGTCATTTAAAGAGGAAGCTACTTTAAAAGTGCAAACTTTAATATGACCAGATGCCAAAGTATACATAATTATCTGATGTTTATCCATAGATACTTTATGTGCTTTACTGTTCTTAACAATGGCATCTCCTCTACTTCAAATTTTTGTAATTCTTACATTCTGTGAAATAAAATTCATTAGTTGAGTTTATACTGAAATGTATGAATTCCTAGTTTCGTGCATTTTATGATGGGTCTTTTGAAGGGTCCTGATTTTATGCTTTCACAAAGTGTGAAGTATGCAGTAGACAAAAGTAAATTTTGCCAAGTTTAAAAACTACAGTTGTGGATTTTGAATAAGTAACACTAAACTGGTTCTGTAAAAAATATGAAGGTTGGTTTGCTTATGAATATCAGAGAAAGTTCTCTCCACATTCTGAGTGCAAGGCTGAAAATTCTCAACAAAGGCTGTCTCAAATAGAGATCTCAATACCACATAGTTTGTTAAAGTTTCAACAAGGGACTAAGAAGAAAACTCCATTCCCACACACACACAAAAATGTAATCTTACATTTTTAAAAAAACAAAATAGTTTAAAGAAATATCTTGACTGTGATGTGGAGCAATGTTTTCAACATCTACTGGTGAGGAGCTGAGAGTGTTGTCCAGCAAAACATTGTCAGTCCCATTAATTACGTCAGTGTATACAGGAGAGTTTTTAGGCTTTTAATTTACTGAATGTCTTAAGGTTGTAATTTTTTTAAGGTTATAATTTTAAACATACAATTTTTTTCATGGCAAGTTCCCCACAGTTGTTTTAGAATCTATTCTCTCTAGTGGATAAAAATCTATCTAGGTTGATAGTTTAATCAAATTCATTTTGGTTTTTGCAAAATTCCTTTTTTTCCCCCAGACTTTTAAGAATCCTGAGATCAAGGAAAGAAATGAAAATTTTCTGAAAATGTCCATGTATTTTAAGATACTGTAACTATACACATTAAATCTACAGAAAAACTGATGGTTAGGAACCTGCAACCACGATTTAATAGCTTTATTTTACAAAAGAGTACTGAAATAATAACCAACTGTAACAAATTTAATAACTATTACAACAGTTACTCAGAAATTACAATTTGACATAATTATAAATTAATAAATGGCACCAAATTATATGGATTATTCATCAGGTGGCTGATGGTCTGGTTTCTTCCAGCATCCACCAGAACTGCTGAAGAGCAGGCTGAGTCTTTGAAGAAGGTGACCCTTTAAGCACCTCTGAATCTCTGTAACTAGAAGGATCCAACTGTCTCTTCTGTAAGACATTATAAACGAAATGTCTTCTTCTCTCTGATATTTCCCTGCTCCCAAAAAACTTACAGCAGATTGCAAGGAATCTGTAGGACCCGGGTGGTTACAGAAAGGTATGAAAATGTAGAAGTGTGGTGTTTCAAAAATGAACTTTTAAAAACTGTTGAGTCAGGGATTCTTTGATTACAAGCAAAAGAAAGCTATCCAAATTAACTCAAGTAAAAGGCAGAGGGTTAGAAGTCTAGAGGGAAATCTCGTGGATTCCAAGCAGGAGTATAGAGATCATCAAAGTTACCAGACCACTATGCTCTTGATTTTTCTCTAGGACTGTATGCTTTCTGCTTCCTTTGGCACATCTGGGTTACAGCTTATTTCTGAAGACCAGATTCCTCAGTTTGTTTGTAAGCATAGGGAAAAAAAAAAATGCTGCCTCTCCTGAGTCAACCTTACAGCTCTACAGCCTCCACAAAGATACTGACTCAAAGTCTAGGTCTCTGGGTTCAGATAATCAAACAAAAGAATCTGATTGGGTTAGGTGTTCTTCCCTGGTCCAATACGCTGTGGCTCAGGAGATAAGGTCTAATGCCAGCAGAGCTGCCCCTTCCAGGGACTGTGGGTAGGGCAGATTCTCTGAGAAGGGCATGTGGGTAGGAATGAAACAATTAATGTCTCAAGTTCCCGGTTACCAGGTATATTGAAGTTGGACTTTCTCAGTTGGTTTTTTGAAGTCTCTTTCAGGTTGGGAGTTCAGGCTATAGAAGGCAGAAGAGTCTAATCATGTCAGCATATTCTCCTTATTCCAAAACCAGGCAGGATTTTGGTATTTGGTAGATATATCTTAGTCTATTAAAAATGGGAGAGGGGATGTGCTAATGCCACTTGTTTCCCAATTAGTTCTCTAGGGGCTAGGATGAGTGGAAGCTTTGAGTAACCAACTAAAACCTGTACCCAGATGCCAGAATAGCTTTTGTTCCACAGCTCCAGATAAAGACATCCTAAGAGAGAGAACATATTGATACTAGTAGTTTATTGCTCCACTAATTCTAATTATTATCTTTCTCCAACAAGAAGACTTCAAGAGAATAAGCCACAAACAGAACTGAATTCTTTAATATTTTGGTTACATTGCCCTAATGTAATACCATTCTATGTGTGATAAAAACAGAACAATCACATTTTACTTCTGATTTTTAATAGTTTGTAGAGATCACTTGCTTTTATTAATTAATTGTTAATAGATTATAAGTTGTAGTAACAATTTGCTTTTACTAACGCCTTACATAAAACATGATACATTCAGTCTAGCACAATGCCTATCAAGAAACCTAGATACTAATGTACAGCATGGTAACTATAGTTAATAATACTGTATTACATATTCGAAAGTTACTAACAGAGTAAATCTTTTTTTTTATTGAGTTATAGTCAATTTACAATGTTGTGTCAATTTCCAGTGTAGAGCACAATTTTTCAGTTATACATGAACTTACTTATATTCATTGTCGTGTTCTTTTTCACTGTGAGCTACCACAAGATCTTGTATATATTTCCCTGTGCTATACAGTATAATCTTGTTTATCTATTCTACATATGCCTGTCGGTATCTATAAATTTCAAACTCCCAGTCTGTCGCTTCCCAGTCCCCTACCCCCTGGCAACCACAAGTTTGTATTCTATGTCTATGAGTCCTAACAGAGTAAATCTTAAAAGTCCTTATCACAAGAAAAAGAAAAAAAATGTAATGATTTATGGTAACAGATGGTAACTAGACTTATTGTAGTGATCATTTCACAATGTATATGAATATTGAATCATTATGTTGTACACCTGAAACTAATATAATGTTATATGTCAGTTATACCTCAACAAAAAAAAATTGGAAAGGAAGGAGGGAAGGAAGGAAGAAAGAAAGGAAGGAAGGAAGAAAGGAAAGAAAGGAATGGAAAGGAAGAAAGAAAGAGAAAAAAAGAAAAAAGAAAGGAAGAAAGAAAGAGAGAGAGAGAAAGGAGCCTAGGCACTGCTTGAGACTAGGTATAGAATTCTCAGGTAAAAATCCTTCGTCAAAATTTTGAAAGTATTGCCCTTGTCTTTAAGCTTCCAGTGTTGCTGTTGAAAAGTCCAGTGCTTTCTGATTCTTTATCCTTTGATTGTGACCTTTTTTTTTTCTCTTGGAAGCTTTTAAAATTTTTATCCAATAAATATAAATATTCATAAAATAAAAATTAAAATGAACCACTCAAAAAAAATCTTTATCCAGAGTGTTCTGAACTTTCACAATTATGTGTCTTAGTTTGGGTCTTTCTTTCTTTCTTTTTTTTCACTCATTGTGGCACCAAGTGAGCCCTTTCAATCAATATCTTCTGTTCTGAAATTTTTTATTATATGATTTCTTTGATAATTACCTCCTCTCTCTTCTTTCTTTCTAGAACTCATTATTTGGGTACAGGGACTCTTGGACTGATCAACTAATTTTCCTTTCTTTTCTGTCCTATATTTCATCTCTGGCTTATCCTACTTTCTCAGAGATTTCTTTAAATTTATCCTCTACCCCTTTTCTTTTTTTTTCAATCTCAGATAACCTGTTTTTAATTTCCAAGCACTCTTTTTTGTTCTTTGAATGTTTCTTGTTTATACAGTATTCTGTTTTTGTTTGTTTAGTTTAGTTTTTATGGGTAAATTATCTTCTCTTATCCCTATGGAGTGTGATAATGGTCTTTTTTCTTAGAAGTTTCTTCTACTTCTTATATTATTTGTTTCCTCTGGTTTCCTTTCTTTCCTATTTACTTCGGTCTGTCTTTAAACCTTGAAGGCTTTTTTCAGATATATGATACTTGGCTAACAGTATTTAAGAATGAAACCCTGCAAAAACAGACTGTAAGCTGTTGGCTTCTAGATTTATGGGCCTCACCATAGGAAGACCAAGTTGATTCTTTTTTTTTTTTTGGCGAGGGGCAGTGCACCATTCCTGGAGGTATTGCAATACCAGGCTGATGCATGGAGTGGACAGAGCAAGCTCATATTCCAACCCCCTGTTCCAAAAATCCATTTAATATATTGTCCTCAGATAGAAGATGTATCAGATATTAAACTGGTAAGAATAGATACTACCAAGTTGAATTATTTTTTATTGAAATGAGCCTCAAATGTTAGTATATAGATCAAATTCTTTCACTTAGAGCTACTCAGTTTCTACAAAGTATGAGCCTCCAGAATCTGGGATTTAAACTGGATTCTGCTTTCTGAAATTAGACATTAGATATGGGGGGGAGAGTGAGAATAGGGCTAATTTTCTATAAGAATTTATAAATTAAATACTCAAAAGAACTTAATTCCCATAGTACTTGACTTAAAATTTTACCAGAAGCAATAGACACAATAACTGAATTTCTGTAAATATTTGTCCTCAGAAAATGCAGAATTTTAAATTTCAGTCTGACAGGTTTTTTGAGATGGAGTGGATTGTGGGACCCCAAAAATAAACTTCTACTCTAAGAAAACAATATGTTTACCAGCAGCATGGGAAGACAAGGGAAGAATTCCAGGTTTAGGGGTTTAAGCCACAGCTGTAAAAGACTATTAGAAGCCTAATCCAGAAATAACAATTCTGTGAACTCTGGAACCAGCAGCTTAGACCCAGCTGGAAGGGCCCTGCCCTGGACTCAGTATGTCACAAACATACCAAAAATGAACTTATTAAATAACACATGGGCACTTCTGATACTTGGAATGCTGTGCACATTGTTGGTATAATTGTGACTCATTAACTGAAACATCCATTCCTGGAAATAATACCAATTAAAAGTTACTAATTTCTAGGAAATAATTCTCCAAGGAAATCCTCCTCCACATCTCTTACCCTGTGTCCACAATACAAAAGGCAACTGAATACAAATACTATGAAGGTTTATGGTTCATGATGCTGTTGACATAGGAGAAAGAACTTGCTTTGGAATGTGGGAGGATTTGAATAGCAAAAACAGATAAGAGAAAAGGCAAAAATAATTAACTTGTCAAATTCTTCCTTTCATTGTGAATTTAATAGCTTTTGGCCTAATGAAGTATCTTTCCTCGTGCCAAGTATACATTTTCTTGCTTCTTTCAGGACACCAGAGATACTCAAAATTAGGGTGCAGTTTCAAACAGCTGAACATAGTGGCTGAGGAATATTTAGTTATACTGAACACTTTTATATTATCCTTAAATTTGTGTTTATGTAGGTATAGACATAACATACATGAAGTGTGGTACTGACTCTACGATAGCAAAATGGACATGATATAATAGAATTGCAGATAGTTTGATTTTCATAAAAATATTTAATAAGATATCATTAAGTTTTCAAAAATTAAATTTAGAAACTTTAAAATGATTAATTTAAGAGTTAATATTAAATATAATTCTTATATTTATTGTTTTTTAATTTTAACAAGTAATTATATATCTGGTAGGAAAATAGCTTTTTGAAGTTCCTGAAAAGAATTTTAATTTGTGATTTATTTAACATCTACTTTAACTTATGTTTTATACACATTAAAAATAACTACTTTTAAAATCCTTTAGATGACAGAAGGAGTACAAGTTGAGATCATGATAGAAAAAGAAAATAGAAAGGTGGAGCTCAAAAACAGTAAAAAAAAAGTCTCAAAAGAAAAAAATTTTAAAAATCTTCAAGGAGGCTATTGCTCAATTATTTAAAAACTGAAACAATGAAAGTGTTCATGAACCATATGAAATCTGCAAACAACAGTTATAAATTCTTTGCTTACTGAATATTTAATTACTAATGAAAATGAGCAAGAAAATTATGTTAGCATATTTTGCCAGAACACTGGTCAACTACACTGTTCATCAATGGCTTTGTCCATTCCATTAAGTATATCTGTTCTTACTTTTAACTTTGTATCTGCTGTTAAATATTTAATCTGTTTTAGGAAACACCGTCACTAAATTTGTTATATTCTGAGTTTCTTACTTTCTCTTAGTAGTTTCACTTTCTTCTGTTACTTGTCTTTCCCCTATGTCTGATAGGTTGAATACAATACGGAACATAAAGGATAGTCCTTGCAAATAAAACTGCATTGCAGTTTTTGGCATATCTCCTCTTATGCATGTTAGTTATACCAAAGAAGTCAAACTGCTTTTGGGACAGATTATATCTGGGCACTTTTGTTTCACAGTTTAATGTAAAATGTTTCAGGCACCTGCAGTGTTGTTCCTTTCTTCAGTACTTTTGCTTCTGTTTTTTGCAGTAGTAACATCATATCTTATTTACAGTTTCCAAATCACTTTTATTACTTGTAATCCCAGTGAAGCCCCACCATAGCCATGGGTGGTGGAACTCACATTTACATTAGAGCAAACCATGTTTTCAACACCATCAAAGTGACAGATTTATGACAACCAGTGGTATAAATGTTTAACAACTGCCTCTTGGAGGGTATTGAAGAACCCTGATTATAGTTTACCAACTTACTTGAAGTAAATACTCCCAGCATGCCCAATTTCAAGCTACCAATGTGATGTCAACTGGCTCCTAAAAGTTCTGAAAACTTAACAAATGGCTCTTGCAAAAGAAGGGAGTGAGCACCAGCACACCACCCAGTCATTTTAAATTGAATCCAAAAGTATATGAAAAGTTACACATGTGCCTTATTTTGAGATTAGGGTTATCAAAAATTGTTTGTTTGTTTGTTTGAAGAGTGAAAGAAAAGCTTTTATTTTAAAAAGGAGGGGGGCTCTGGGAACAGAGTTAGTCCATTCAGGCCTTCAGTGTCCTGGTGGTGATTTTGTCCTTCTCAACGATATGGACAATGATTCCCATGCCCGACATGGTCCCTGACCACAGCATTCAGTGTGGCTTGTGAGATGGTTTCAAATAGGTGTGTGGATCCATGTTGGGCTCCCAGAGGGACTCTGGGAGCTGTACATTAGTTCGGTGCAGGTGCCACTGACCACAAAGTCATCAGTCACCATGGGGCAGCCAATGAGGTCTAGAGAGCAGATGAATGGCTTAAAGGTCTTTGGGTCCAAGCCAGCAATGACTGGCTCAGTGTAGTAGGGCCTGAACGGTTTCTCATACAGGAGGTTGGCCACCATGCTCATGATGGTGTAAAGCTTGATCTGCCGACCTTCCTTCAGCTCATACAGGTTCAGCTGAAACTTGAGGCGCTAGGCGACTGTCTGGACGTTGGTGGTGAGCCCGGCCAGGCCGATGTACAGCCGGTCGCCCATGGGAAAGATATTCGGGAAGTCCGTGGTCACCATCTGGGCCTGGATCCTGAATCACCTGTCGGCAGTGTTGCCCACACAGTTCTTCCCCTTCATGGCCATGATGGCCCCTCCATTATAGGACATAATAGACATGATTGCAGTACACTAAGACCTCCAACTGCCACAATTCCAGCAAACCGGCTATGGCTGTCACTGTGCAACCACCCTCACTGCTTTTAGGATTATCAAAATTTTAACAAATGGATATGCCCATGTACCTGGCAGAATAAACTAATAATAAAGCTATTAAGTGGTAAATTATGTGGTCTCAATTACAGATGCTTTCAGAGTTTCCAGAGGGTAGAGATTTTGATGGGTAGATTCTAAACTGGCCCTCAATGATCTCCAACTCACAGTATTCATGCCCTTGTGGAATCCATTCCTGTTGGTAAATCATCTGAGGGTCCAAAGTGAAGGCAGAGAGACTGTTTAGAAACCTACTGTAGTAGTCCAAAGGAATGGATATTAGTGCTCTGAACTAGGATAGCAGTGAAGATAGAGGATACATTCTTGAAATGTTTCATTAGTGTCATCAACAAGGCTAATGATAAATTGGATTAGGGAGTGCAGGAAAGTGTGGAATCAAGGATGACTTTGGGCTTGAGCAACTGTTGTTTAATGAGATGGTTGCTGCGTGGAGGGTGGACCATAAGGAGGCAAAGGCAGAGGCAGAGAGTTCAGCCAGGGAGCTTGAATTCAGGACAGTTGGGTTCTTTGGTTTTTGTTTTTGTGGGATGGGGGCAGGTTTTGCTGTGAAAAGGAATAGCTTTCTTTTAGTCATATTAGCTTTAATATGCTTATTAGACATTCAAGTAGAAATGTAAGGTAGGCAAGTGTTCCAACGGTCGGGAATTCAAAAGAGATGCCTGGGCTGGAGATATAGATTTGAAAGTCACTAGTATAGGGATGTGTCATAAAGCCATGGCCTGGATGAAATAGGTCACTCAGGGAGAAAGTGCACATAGAGAAGACAGAGGAGAAGCCAAGGGCACTGCAGCATTGGATAGAATATACAGATGTTGAAGGAAAGCTGGAAAAGAGAGGTGTCACAAAAGCCTTGAGAGTTGTTTCAACAGGGAAGGTGTAGTTAATTGTGTCACAAGCTATTGAAACACTGTGTTAAACGTGGATCCACAGCATTCTTTGAACCATTGGCTTTGTTAAGATGTGGGCCTTGAGAAATATCCACTTCAGTGGTTTGAAGGTGAGATAAGAAGGTGAAGACCAAAAGTATAGACATGTCTTTATGTCTTTTAGGGAGTTTTGCTGTGAAGGAGAGCAGAAAAATTGGGTGCTATCTGAAGGTAGCAGTGGGGTTAAGCAAGGATTTTTTTTTTTTTTAATTTGGGTAAGATCTCAATAGGAAGGATTACCAAGGAGAAATGAGGGGTGGGTGGGGTACAATTAAAGGTGATTTAAGAAGTTCTAGGGGATAGGAATCCTTTTAGCCCTTTAGGCAATCTTTTATGTGCAAAGCGCAAAAAGTGCAATAAGGAATTTTTTTAAAACTGGTAAAGTGGGGAAAATGGTCACTCTAATAGAAATGGGGTTGATGATAAAGGAATAATAATAGATATGTTTTGGACATATGACCAACTTAGTAATTAGTACAAGAGACTTTGAGCTTCAGGGTAATAATGATGCTTAAGGAAAATAATATATTTTACAACGGATCAGTCAGTTGGTAGACACCAATTTAATTATCCTATACCAAATTAACAGGGACTTACCTTGCCAAGATTCTTGGCACTTTTATATTCATTTAAATTGCATTGGGAAAAAGCATAATAGTAATTGAAAAGCAACTAATTATAAGCAATTACAAGCCAAATTATGTTTATACCACAATTAGTGTTAGAGGTGG